AAAGCTATTGAAAATGGCCATTGATAGTGGATGTTCCCATTAAAAATGGTGGATCTTTCCAGTTCGTTATGTAAACGTTTACCAGGCCGGGTAAGCCATGATATCATTTTGCGAAGCCACTTGGATCGCAAAGGCCAGGAACCTTGGTGGGAACAGTGGCGTGGCGCTGGGGCGAAGGGTGTTTTTCCTAAGCCCATGGAATTTCTCGAGTTTTTGCAATCCCAACCCCCCGAACATGTTGGAAAACCCGCAGGGTCAGGCTTCAAGGTGGGTGAATGGCTTATGATACCATCTATTTGGTGTTGAATATGGGGTGAATAGCTGTGAACCGCTGCCATTTTTGCGGGTCAACATCCTCATTTCTTGGCTGGTTACATCTGTGTGTCCAAAAATCTCCAAATTTGACCCCCATTTCAGTTCCCATGTGGCCATCATTGGCGAAATCACATGTTGCTTGGGATGGGTCAAACGTAAAAACCCCAGTCAAAACCACAGATGTTGGTCCATTTTTCTCCAGTCGTTTTAAGTACCCTCTGGTAAAACGTTTACATTGTTTACATAACTGTGGAAAATCACCATGTTTCATGGGTAAATCAACTATTTCTATGGCCATTTTCAATAGCTACGTTAAATTACCAGAGGGTATCAAGTACGCCATCCCAGGGGGGATCAAACCTCGATCCATCCCCATCCTGGTCACCATGGTCTGGGGCCCCTTGGGCCCCGGGCTATGAGGCCCAGCACCAGCCAACGCATCGCGCGGCCGCGCCGCGCCCCGCCGGCCCGGGCCGAGCTGCAGCCGGCATCTCTTCTCTTGTATGGGTATGTAATGGTATGTATATGCATGTATATGTATGTGTATAATATATATATATATGTTATATTTTAGATAAATATATATATATGCACTAAGATACAGTAGGCAGACAGGCAGACAGATAGCTAGGTAGATTAGATTAGATTCGACCGATCGATGAACGATGGATCTTACATCTACCCTGGATGTTCCTTAAGAAGATGACATCTCGCTGAGTTTCCTCACTCAGGAGAAGGTAAAATCCAACGGTGCAGGCGACCTGCTTCGATGGCGCTGTGTCCAAATAGACCCTGAAATGCTGGGATGTCAGGGTCCACCAATATGTTTGGTACTCCAGATTTCCGAAAACCAAAGGAGTACATGACTCTACTGGATTACAGAGCCAAAATATACAGTAATGCTTCATGGATTTATGAACCATTAACATCCATTAACTATATCTAATATCTATATATTACTGGTTGATATATTCATATCCATTTACTATACTCTAATAGCACTATAGTTAATGGACATTAATGGTTGTTATTTACCAAGGCCTACGGATTCCCACCTCGAAAGTTTGGCGCTCGCCCAGGGCACCCAGGGCCACGGCATAGGTTGCCTGCCATGACAACGCTTGATGTACAAAAACTCTCCAAAAGTCATGTCCCAAACTTCGGGGTTTCCCCAAATTTTCCCATCAAGTTTCCAGCTGATGTTCCAAAGATCCCCAGGAAAATGCACCAAAAAACCGCCAGATTTTTCTGTTTGAATAGAGAGTCCCAGCCATTGGTGTTTTTTTGGGATCAATAAGGGGGTTTTTGTTTTCCCCGCCTCGCTGACGTTCATGCCAGCCTCCAGCAGCGCATCCGAGAGCGCCAGCGCCTTGCAACTTTGAGATGCTGATCACCCAGCAGCAGCGATTCGATTCAATTCAAATAATTCAATGAGTCTCTCATTCCCAAAATAAATACAGTGTAATTCAAACCAAGTGTCTGCATGGCTTGTAGCCTTTCCAGCAATGCCTCACTGTTATGACCGATGTTCTCATACCCCACAATTCAGGTGCCAAAAATCGTGCTTTATCCATATCTAGATGCCTCATGGCAGCTATGGCAGCTATGATGACTGACATCTCTGGTGGAAACCAAGGTTTTGATCTCCATCCGTGCCCCCGTCCCCGCCACTTGATCATCATCCTGGGAAACCACACTGCAGACTCCCGTGCGTCTAGAGACTGGCACTCCTGACGTGGAAGGTCTTGGACCGATATGGAGACCTCCAATTTTTGGACCAACTACAAATCCATGGAGGACCATAGGATCCCCAAATTTCGACCCACTTTGAGGGATTCAATCCCCAAAGGTGCTACAGGTTTGTAGTTAACCAATATTTCACATATTAATGGGATCCATGAAATACCAAAAAAAAACAATCCGATTAAATCCCCAAATGTCAACCAACAGATGTCTCGAAAGTCACACAATCGTTCTGTCGTTCTGTGGGGCGAGCTCCGTAGGTGATAGGCGGCATCTTGATATTGGGAGACTCTGAAGATAGCTTGGAGCTTCACCAAGATTCTCATCGATTCTACCAGAAAAACAACAAGTCCCCATGAAGCACCAGTAAAATAAGCATCAAGAGAGTGCATCCCCAAACATAACCATCAATTCCCATGTGTAACCAGACTGGTTTTGACGGATTTGGGGCTCAACATGGCTGAGCCCATGGCACACCACCCCCAAAAAGCTCCTTGCAATCTCTGCCTTGCGAAAGTGTCTCGATGACATCGGCTGGAACGCCTGGTCAACCAAAAAATGGAGGGACGTGCCCCTTATAAGTTATCGGATAAACCCTGATAAACCATGGAAATCATCTCGCAGGGATCCATCAAAATATCATCCACTGGGGGTCATATCTGAAAACACAACAGGAAGGGGGGGTACCCATTTTGGGAATAACACCCCCATACTATTAATGATGGTTAATGATGGTTAATGATGGTTAATGATGGTTAATGATGGTTAATGATGGTTAATGATGGTTAATGATCAATCCAAGTACCTATATTTCTGCACAATAGCCACCTGTCGCCACCTGTCTCCCCGAAGAACCTGCAGCTGCCGCCAGCTTCTGGTGTGACCATAGGGCATACTTTGCACCCGTTCGTTGCACAGTACGCAGGATGCACAGCCTCAGTGGACTGTGCGAGCAGTTTGGCAATGACCAATGACTAATGTTGTTGCATCTCCACACTCATATTTATATATAATTATATATATATAGACATCTTTATATATGTATTTAGTTTATATATCTACAAAACCATACACAGGACCTGTGTGTTTTTTGGAGGATCCCACGCACCAGCTGCAGGTGGTTTTTTTGTTGTTCGCCTGGCCCGTTTGGGTTTCGGCTCCACGTCCAGATCGAGGACCGTCTCCGGGACCGTCTCCGGGACGGTCTCCAGCACCATCTCCGTCTCCTCGAGCTGGACCTCTTCCAGGCTCACAACGTGGCCTGGCAAGGTCTTGGTCGTGGTTAGTCCACTATGAGTCCAATGTGAGTCTAATAGATCATAAACAAACAAGTCCAATATAAGTCTAATGTAGGTCTTAATATATAAAGTCAATAAGTCCAATATAAGTTTATGTATACATCTCAACACAGCTTGCAGATATCCAGAGAAAGGGCCCGGCCTGCAGCCGGGCGCTTGGCCTTGAGCCGTTCCTTAGGATCCCGGGCAACACTTGGCCATGGTTTTTATGGTACGATGAACCACTGGATGTTTGAAATGTTCTCCCATTTTTGGGGACTTAGTGGAGAACTGGTGATGAAAGATTGGAAATTCGCCCATCCGAAAATTTGTGGATCTTGGTTGTGGTTTCCAAGTCGTTTCATCATGGTTTCCATCCAAAAAAACATGATAAGACTCTGTAATTATAGAATATTATATATATATACATTGTAATTAATGTCAACCCCGGGTTAATAAACCATGGTTTATTGATTAGGGGGGTACTCCCCCAATAGTCATAATCCAATACTTAAATGGTATCCCCCCAATTAAACAGCCTATGGGTTTATTAATCCAGGATTGACATTATATAATATTATATATACGTATATATAAGACTGATAAGATTTGGTTTTTGCGTGAAATCCTCCCATTTCTTCCCATGTTTTCATGCCAAAAACCACGGGGGGATGCTCCGAACCTTCAGCGTCCCAGCATCCAGCGCCCGCTGCCGTGCCGCCGCCCACTGCGCCGGCGACGACTGGAGACGCTCCATGGCCTGCGCACGCTGCGCGGCCCACTGCGACGGCGTCACCTGCGTCACGGCGACCTTGGGCCTGGCGATGGCAGGTGGAGTGGGTATGTGAACTGATCATGAACTGGTAATATGTTACGAAGGTGGATTATCAATGATTATCATATGGTTACTACCAGTTCAGTATCAGTTAACCATAGTTGGTATATTAATATGTTATGAATCATTGATATTACCACTTATTGTAATATGTTACATTTATATTACCACTTATTCATCATGGTTATTCATTCATAGTTTATATGAATTGGTAAGATGTTATGGTGATAAGATTAATTACAATAGATTAACTGATGAATGGATGTGTTTGATGATGGTTGATATACTTGAGATAGATGATGCAGTGTTGATAAATGTTCATAACTTATTAGTGATGATTTAGCTTTCACTACATCATCATAGGATATAAGATATCAAACAAGATCAAACAAGTAGATGCGAAAGAAACCAATCATGTAAGATATGTAAGTTGGATAGATTTAGATGGCATCCAACCTTTGTTCCCACATCTCAAAATCAAAGCCAAACGACTTTGTTCCCACATCTCAAAATCAAAGCCAAACGATGAGATTGCATCCCTTCACATCAAAAAACCATATTCCCCATCTTCATCTCTAGTCACTCTAGTCATCTTTCATCCCAAAAAATCAGCCAAACCAAAAAAATCGAGGTACCCCATTTCACCTCATCCCCATCCCCCCATCCCCCACCTGGTCTTGTTGCGTTGCGCTCGCAGCGCCGCCCGGCGCTGCCTCCGCGCCTTGGGGCCATCCGCAAAGGCGCCGCCCACCACGTCCACGCCGCCCTCCTCGGAGGCGCCGTCGGAGATCTCCTCCTCGGAGGAGTCGTTGAGCACCGCCAGCTCCGTTCCTGGCGGAGCTAAGGGGCCCAACAAAGCCCGGAAAATTGGGAAGATTAGCAATAAGTTCAATAAGTTCAATAAGACTTAGAATGAAGCAACAAGATTCTTGTCAGTTGGGCAACACTTCTTAGACAAATTAGGTGGAGTGTAGTTGAAGATCTGTGACTTGATGAAACTCTCCAGTTTTTCAATATCAGTGAGCCAGGCCAAGTCTCCTGGAACGATGTCTGGATGTTCCTCCAAATCCACCGGACCTGTCGAAACATAAATCCCATGGGCCCCAACGTGATATGGAAGTGTGTCAAAACCATAGGTACCCCTGTAGTTCACATCAAAATAGCTGGGATTTATGGAAATAACCCCCTAAAAATTGTATTTTCATAGGTATTGATCCATAGCCATATCAATCTCGAATCAAGATTGGGATGGAATAGTCTTGGCAAGCCCTCTGGCCAGCGACAAGACTGCAAGACATTGATGTTGGGAAACGAGTTAACATAATCGTTTATTTCCATCCAACAAAAACCAGTTCCATTGTGTTCCCACAGAAATATGGATTGCTATGGTGTTTTTCCATATTTTTCCCCTTTTTTCTCTGGCCCAAGTTCCCTCAATTTTCCGCACTTCCCCAGGCCTCGCTCCTCCTCCTCCTGGATGCCATCTGGGGCCTCCTCCTGCGCCTCCTCCGCCGCGGGGTCCATGGGCACCGCCCAGGCCACTGCTTGCTTCGCCCAGGCGAAAAAGTCGTCCTCCTCGGGGGAGGGCGGCGGTGAGGGCGCCACGCCTGGGGCAGAGGCGCAGCTTGGGACGGAAAATCCCGGAATTGGATGGGAAATTTTGCTGGAAACCAGAGGAAAACCTCTACAAACAAAAATTTCATGGGAAAAAGCCAAAAAAAAATTATGCCAGACAGATGTTCCCTGGTTTACCAATCCGTTGATTGTAAGATCATCTGCTAATGTTTCACTCTTTGCAGCTGTGTCTGGTGACACCCCATGTGAGCCATGGTCAATACTCACTATATGGTTGATGGTCATCCCATCCATAATAAGGATCCTTATTCCATGGTTATTATAAGTCCCTATGAACCATTGGATGACTAGCCCCTATTAATGGTTATTAACAATGAGTATTGACCATAGCTCATGTGGCACCCACTGGAAGGGCCTGGTCCCAGGATGGCCTCGGCGTTCTGCCGAACTTGTTCCAGCTTGGAGTTGTAGAGCTGCCGTCGCTTCTCCGCCAGATCCTCCCAGAACTTCCCCTGGCGAGGTGCCGTTGCTGGGTGCCGTGAAGCTGCTTTTTCAGCATGGTGCAGCTGGATTTCCCCACCTGGAAAGTGAAATATAAAACCGTAGTAAAACCGTAGTAAAACTCCAAAAGTTCTGGAAATCTAGAACCCTATCAACATGTCAATATGTCAACCCTTCCATCATTCTGAGGGCCACACATTGATCCCAACCCAGACCTGAGGTGCTTTGGTCTGTTCCCCGCCACTGGCCGCTGCTAGGGCGCGGTCGATGCAGGGATGTTGGAACTCCACCGTGGCTTCTTCGATGTCTGTGGAATTCACCTAAGAAAAAAAAACGACCGCCAAACCACTGATGGCTGTCCTACCTGAAGCCTGCGAAACATTGAGAACATCAGAGCATCTATATATCAATATCAGTCAATATCAATATCTAGAAAAAGCATCTTTGGGCTTCAGCAAAAAACGGAAATTGAGCGGGAAGGGATGCACCAAACGTACACCAAAAGTGACTTGTTCCCAGCCTCGGATTTGGACTCGGAAATCAGCACCACGTGGTCATCCACCAGAAAGGTCCGACGCAAGCCTCGGTTGAAAAAACACAGGAGGCCGCGCAGCCCTGTGAGATGGATCTAATGGAACATTGTGAAAAATATGCAGGTTTTCTCAAAAATCTGGGATTTAGATGGATTTTGATGGATTTACATGGATTTACATGTCCAACCTATGGCAGTTCAGTGGGGAAAATGAGGTCTGAAACTAGCCTTTGCTCTTCACCTCTGCTCACCAACAGCAAATCTCGAGTTCTGGGCTTGGTAAAACCTGGAAATTGCTGGACAAACCCCAAAGGACCAAAGGACCGGAACAGAAAAGGCGCTGCTTCAGTCAGGTGGCAGCAGCCACGTGCAATGCCCAATTCCTTAAACTGGATCAGACCGAAGGGTGCACCTTTGTCATCCCGGTCAAGCCGCAACCTGAGCATAGCAGACATGTTCAGGATATGTCGCACCAAAAAAAAACAATGTTCAAGATTTCAGGCGCCACTGCTAGTCTGTGATAGTGCAAAGTACCCTTTTGGTCCAACTTCCAGATTGCTGCAGACGAAAGGGTGACAGCTCAGCTACATTGGCTATACGGCTATACATGCTGAACTCAATCAGAATCAACAGCAAAGATACAAAGACAGAATTCAATGCTCCGTGAACTACCACGAAAGCTGAAACTGCCAGGTGCTCATGCGGCATAAAGTGCCTTGGCTTTCACATAGAGAGCCTTGCCCTGCGCCGTCTTTCCGTTCACAGCGCAAAAACCTTTGATGCCCAACTCCTTCCTGGCCTGGATCACTGCGTTGTTCCAGCCGGAGATGTTCTTGAAGCGGTTCTTGGCCGCGGCATTGGCCTTCTTGCTCACCACTTTTCCTCTCTTGTTGATCATGAGATCATTGCGTGTGTGCCCAGAGGAAGTTTTCTCCTTCTTGCCCTTGAAGACGGCGATCTTGGCACGCTTGCCTCGAGCAATCTTGCTCACTGCCTTCTTCTTCATGACACGAGCTTTCATCGCAGTCGTTGCTTTCATCGCCTTCATGGCCTTCATGGCCTTCATTGCCTTCATTGCGGACTTCATTTTGATCCAATTTTCACCTACAAAATGCAGATGAGGGATCTCGGACCCAAGAAAAGAACTTGAATCTGTTACCCCAGGTGAAGGGCCACAGGCCCACAAAATTGTTGCCAAAAGATCATGCTGGAAAAGCGCATGAATGCAATCTGCCCCGGATTCAACAAAAGATCCAAGCGAGACAAGCTATACAAAAGAATCACAAGGATCAAATTCGAGAAGAAATGCGCACAGCCAAGGACAAAGCATCCACAAAACGGACACAGTGCCGATGCACGCCAAAACTGAGAGCCAACGAAAAAATTACTGATCATGTTCATTGGCAGCTCCCAAAACAGCCGCCATGCAAGCACAAATGTCTACCCACTTTGACTGTAGAAAAGCTGACAAACCCAGAGTGGGGATGCCACAAATTGATGCGACAGAGTCGCTTGCAGCAAGCTGGGCGCAAATCACAGGGGCATGCTCGCCCAAGCAGGAAGACCTGACATAATCCCAACGCGGACATTGCCACCAACGATGAATCTCGGTTTCAACACCAAGGCGACAAAACGGACAAGTAGCAGACACAGTACCGCGAGAAGACCGGTTCAGACGATCAGCAGTGAGAGTGGCACCTTGCATAATACAACGAATACTGCATGCAACCTCATCGGAACCCAGAACACGACGCAACAGAGCCCGATCAACATGTTCCAAATTGCGCATGTCACGTCTGCGCCGACTAGCAGTCTGAAAACACACATGGCGCATGGCATCGCGCAAAGCATGCAAGCATGAAAGGCTATGTTGATGCAGTTCCCTCTTATGAAGCAAACGTGTGCTTGCAAAAGTTTTCATCACATCAGCCATATCAGAGGCCTGGGCGAAGGATTGACACATACCTCTGCGGCGACATTCCATGGTCTTGCAGACTAGATGAAACATTTGTCCGCTTTGAGACGCCAGTTGATTCCAAGCAACCCACCTCCACCCAAAAGCCTGAAGGGCCTGTTGAAGCCGAACATAAAAGGAATCAGCAGGAGGACAAGTCATTTCAGAACATAAATGGAAATGGGACTGCAAAAGCTGTTGATATTCCAAATTGGTATTTGCCAGCCGAAACAACAACGCAACCTGTTCATGAAGCAGCGCATGAGGAATAGAGGACCGATGAATAGGACTGAGAAGAGCAAGACTAACTTCTAAGCACCTACGGGTATTGGTGCGACCACCAGAGAGCACATTGACAAGGATGCGCTGTGTGCGAGCATCAACCGCACTCAGAGGATCCCAAGCGATAGCAGAGTAAGTGAGCATATTCATCAAAGCCCCAATATCTCTAGATCGAGGTTCATACCCGACTGACAAACACTTGAACCGTTTGGCAATGGTTAAGAACTTGTCCAACAACGCAGTCCAGTGAGCAGAAGAGCCAACGCAGAGAGCGCCGAGATCAAAATGCCCACCCAATATTTCCAAAATAGTGAGACGCCCCAAGTTGACGCCTCCAATTTGAAAATGAGCCGCGCTCACGGCATCATTGCCTGGACAAGTACTGGCCCACTTGCACTTACCGATGTTCAAGGTGACATGCTGGTCCTGAAGCCAACTAACAAAGAAATCATGCGCAGCGTGAAGCTGAGACAGATGAGGCGAAGACAACAGGACATCATCAGCATAAAGCGAGATAGAAACCTCAGGAAAACGACGAGCCAACTCACGAATAGGACAGCAGAGAAACGCAGACAAACACGCCGGAGCGCTAGGGTCCCCTTGAAACAGGCCGTTAGTACTGGAGAAGGACGCGTCAGAGAAACGACCTTGGAGTTTCCAAATACGACGAAGACCAGACCACAGACTGTGAAGAGCACTAGCACACGCAGGTTGCACGCCGCATTCAACCAAGCTGTCACGCACTTTGCGCCAAGGAAGCGAGTCGAAACACTTGTGCATGTCATAGGAAACCAAATAAACATGACAACCAGACAAGGAAGCATTTTGACAACGAAGATACGTGGAGGCCATAGCAGCTTGGGCAGACTCACCAGTGCGAAAGCCATGAGAGCACGATGGCAGAGAACACTCCAAAACAGCATGCAGACGTTGCGCAACGACACCAGACCAAGCACGGTAAACCACAGAAGCCACAGAGATCGGACGCAAACCAGCAGGATCAGTCAGAAAGTCAACAGAAGCTTTCTTGGGAATCAAAGTAGTCACAACCGTGCGCAAACAAGGATGCCAAGTGCCAGAAGCAGCCATGCCATACAAAACCTGAGCCAAGAGATCCCAGAAACAGGCGGGCAAGGCAAGCAACTCACACCGACGCCAACCGTCAGCACCACAAGCGGAGTGAGCCGCAATTTTGTCAACTGCAGACCGAAGATCAGAACCAGACATGCGAAGCATATCAAGCTGGTGCAACGTACTTTTGAGAGAGCTAGACAAGGCAGGCTCAGCAAAACCATTTTCGGTGAAGTTTGATGGGCAAGAAGGGGCTGCATCCGGGCGTCGAGCCAAGATCGGTTGCCAGATCTCTTCAACCTTTCGAAAGCAAGCAACGGTATCGTGAATGTTTTGCCAGGAGGTGTATTTGGCCTTAGCCCATTTGAATCTTTCAGCCTGCGACATTTGCATGCGAGTGCGCCAGGCCGACAAAACTTCATCGCGACGTTGTTTATTGCGCCGATCAATCGTGCGCCGCAACCAATCAAGTTGAGTTTGGACTTCAACCTTGCCAGGGAGTTGGCTCGGGAGAGGATGAGAGCGAAACACAAGGAGGATGCGACGACGAGCATTTGTCCAAATGGCTTGGCTGTGATTGTTAGCAACACAAGAATCCCAACAGGAGCACAGTTCAGCTAAGCCAGCACGAGCGCGTTCAAGTCGACGAAAGTCAACATCACCTTGGAGCCGAAGAGACTGCGGATCACAAACCCTAAGAGCAGGAACAACAGCGCGACCGAAATGGGAGGAGCACACAGTTTTTCCACCAAGTCGGCACTGCCGCGCAAGTTCACATTCAGCGAGTTGGGTCCATAGAGCATACGCATCATCAGGGCGTTCATCTTCAAGGAGATTAGAGACATGAATAAAGTCAGCAGACCAATCCTGGGACTTAACAGAACGGGAGACACACTCGGAAAGAGGGAAAGACCGAGGAGGTTGCAAAACACTCCAAGAGTCATGAGCAGGATTGAAATCAAAATCAGCGCAAACGGGTCGGTGGGTGGGGAAGGGAGCAGCAGAGAGAACCTCCCCACACACAAAGGACTGCAACAATGAAGGAGAAAAAAGGACATGGTCGATAACGGAACCCGTGTGAGAGTTATGAGCACAGCATGTCACAACTTCCTGAGGATTGGCCGTTCGATAACCCTGCCGCACGAGCTGGTGTAAAGCAAGTGAATCCTGAAGAGAGGAATTGAGATCCCCAGCGACAAGGACATGACCGGGCAACGACAGCACCCAACCAACAATCTGGCTCAGCATGTCTTCTCGGCGTTGAACATCATGTGTGTGACCGTAGCACGCAACACAAGTAATATCCGCTTTGCCAAACTGCTGAGACACTTTGCCAGCAACAATACGACCATCGGCCCAATAATCCAACAGACAATCCGGGAGATCAAGCGGCGAAAGACGAACGCCAGGACCACCAATCAAGGCAACACCTCGAGACGACGAAACGCCAGGACCATGCACAGGAGCGCCCCAAACTACACAACGCCCTGACTGCTGCAGTCGCATAGTAACACTGGCTTGCCCGGTACCGGTGAGAGCAGTCTCCGAGACACACGCCAGACCAAACGTAAGAGCACAGACCGCAGCAACACGGGAAAAAAGGGAAGTCACATTCATAGCAGCAACCCGAAACAAGGAAGGAGTTGAACCAGATTCAGTTTCACCCCCTTTGACATCAGCTTGGCCTTTCGCCTTGCGCTTCTTCTTGTTCTTCACAGAAGAGGTGGGAACAGCCACAGAGACCTTACGAGCTCCAACTACAGCGGGTTGAGCAACCGGCACAGGCAAGGTTTGATCGCGAAAACGGGAACGACTGCGCGAACGGACAGGGCCACCAACACAAGGAGCAACAGGAACAGGGGGGCGACTGCGTTTGGAACTTTGGGCGCGATGCCATTCATGAGGAAGCAACGGGCGACGACCACGAGCTTGCGCAGCATGCGGACGATGGACAGGACGACACCAAGGAGGCGACCACCAGTCAGGAACGTCGCACACAGCCAAACTCTGACGCAAGAGGTCCCAATGACCAGCCGCCAGGACAGAAGCAAACCGATTATACCTCCCACGCTGGAGCATGCGAAACACAAGCCAGCGGACGCTTGGGCTATGGATGCCATCATTCTGGAGT